CAGTGAGTCGGCGTGGCTCCCCTCCCGCCTCGGACGGTAGAGCCCCGACTCACACTACTACAGGTTTAAAGATCATTTGGATCTGCTGATTTGTATATATTCATGTTCTCCAAATATTGCTGCATGATCCTTTTAATCAACAGCTATATTGAAAGATCTTTAATATTTCCTAGCTGTCCATACTTCATTTTGTTGTTCGATTTTGCCTCCGTTATGGTGCCTTTTAGTAAACTTACCTTTATCTCTTCTTGATTTTTAACATTCATACTCAAGTTATTAAGTGTGTTTATTGCTTTTTCTTTAACTTTGGGAATGGAATTTGAGAGCATCTTTCCAATAACAGAAAGGCCATCCAAATTTCGAATTATATCCTAAAAGATAAACAGATATATATATAAGATATTACTGCTAATCTTAAACCAAAACGGAGTTCTGCCTCACTAAAGCTTTCAGGATCTGGTCTCTGATATTTAAGGAGAGAATATCAGCAGTTTAATATTATTTCTTTATATACCAGCATATACAAAATAAATATGCACAACATTCATTGTGAAACTTTGGTGCCAATTTATAGTACCTAGTTACTTTATCTCCAAATAATTTTTTTCATAGATAAAATGAGAACAAATAGGATAGATACATGTTTCTGCAGGGTCACTCCTAAAATTCTCAAATCTTGTAAAACTATCCGAATTAAGAAAGCTTTGCTCACTTCTAGAATTGGAAAGAAGCATCAGTTATGTTTTGTTTAATCCAACTTAAACAATTACTTGATGTTTCTCATTTAGTGTAATAAAATATGCCATCAACAGGCCATATTTTGGCTTTGGATACACTATTTCCATTGAAATCAGTGGGAGCCCTGCTTAAACATTTGAGGCTAGAATATGGCCTAATATCTGAAAAGAGCAAAATATCTCTATTATTCAAGCCCTCTATGTCAGAATTCCCCTTTGAATTCAGTAGGATTTCAGCATGCATGTTTGCAGAACCAGGTTGAATATTACAGTTAGCAGGTTCTAAAATTTAGCTTATTTTCCATATATTTACAAAGTTCAAATGCTCTTAAAAATATATTACTCCTCCTCCCCAAAACTGAACTCAACAACACTGTTTTAATTCTCCTTATGAAAAATATCTCAGGACCTCATGACACCTGTGACGAACTGGGACTGTTCTTACTGTGGTCTGTGAATGCTGACAGGGGAGTGTGGCTAGGATAGTCTGCATTGGGGGATGGGAGACTGACCTACGGAGAATACCTGAGCATGTAACATGAGAACCCAGGAGGGGGCTGGGGCCAGGTGACACCTTTGCCCGGGAAACTGAACAAAGGCCGGTGGGAGGGGTCGCTGAAGGCAGAGTCTGGGAAGCTGGCTGGTGAGGTGGCTGGGAGGCAGGGAGGGCTCTGACCTCTGGAGGGGGGCTGGGGTGCCCGAGGACCCCAAGATGGACCTAACTGGGGGGTATCCTGTTGTCTGTGCCTGCAAGACCTGTCTTGGACTGTATTCCCGTCGTCTAAATAAACCTTCTGCTTTACTGGCTGGCTGAGAGTCATGGTGAATCACAGGACGCCGGGGGTGCAGGGCCCTGAGTCCCCCCATACTCCGTGACAACACCCCAGTCACCTTAGTAGAGATCTGGGGGAATAAATATTTTTAGTAAGAAATCATATTTTTAGTTTCTCATTAGAAGCCAGAGAATAATTGAGAAACTATGGTTACAATTATGAGAAATACCTCAACAAGAGAAGTGTGGAAGCTTGAAAATTAATCCTTTATGGATACAAGAAAACATGCATCTCCCAAAGAAATTTGTCGTATTGAATTCCCAGTCAAAGGAATACCCTGATAGCAGAGGGGTTAGACTTAGCAAATTTCAGGCCTGATAATGGGAGTTGCAGGTGCTCAGCACCTCTCAGATCAAACTCTTCAGTTGACACTATAAGATTGTTAGTGATAATGCACATATATAATAGCACTTTGAAAATATGAAGCTCTGTAGCAACATTAATTATGCTAATAACAGCCCAGTAAAGTAGTTATTCTTATATCTATTGTAATGATGGGGAAATTAAGGCAGAGAGGTTAAATGACTTAAACGAGGTCATGTTGGCCCAGATCCTCAAAGTTATTTAAGAGCCTAACTCCCTTTTAAATCCATGGGAGTTAGGCACCTAAATACCTTTGAGGATCTGGGTGATAGTCACTAAATTAGGATTAGAACACAGGAGCTTCTAGCTCTCGATCTCATGCTTACTCCTCTGCAAAATGCAGTCTCATTTTCTATACTGGCTCACTTTGAAATACAATTGCTTTCTTTAGAACATGACTTACTTGATTTACAGAGAATGCAGCACTGTTGCTCAGAGTGACCAAGGCTTGTTCTTGAATTAACGGATCATCTGTGAGCTCAAGCAAATGAATAAGTTTCTGTAGATGATGGGCATCCAGGTTACTGGGTGATTTTGGAAGATCGGTGTCTGCCAAGGTTTAAAAATTAAAACAAATTATTTCAAATCAACTTTGAAACATTTCACTGAACCAACGCACATAACGCTTTTTACAGAGCTGTGTTATAGCCACATACTTACGGATAGCATGCCAGTTGTAGGCCACATAATCCTAGGATTCACTGATCCACTATGATATTATGGCAGAGTCACTGCAATACCAGTTAAGGCTGGGTTCTATTTTGCATTTAAAGCAGGATTTCAATATACATATTTTAAAAGAATGCATCTGCCCCAACTTTTCAGCATGTAATCTGAGTAAAGCCTGATTCTTTTTTTGAGGATTTTCAAGTAAATCTGTTAAATAGTTTCTGATTTCTAGTCAGTTAAAAAAATCTTTTAAAAAAGTTAACTTTCTGAGTTGCATGACTTTGAGCCCCTCTAGTTTCAAAACTACAAAATGTAGAAAGTAAAAAAAATTGTGAGAGTGTGGCTATGTAATTATTTTGCTAATTCACAAAGAAATAATTCTATTAATTATTCATCATAACTGGATCCTTATTCATTGCAGTTATCCAATGGAGATTTTTTTTTTTTTTTTTAATGTCTGCTACTTCCATTTCTGACATGGAATGTAGCAACTTTTTTGGACAATTTAGGAGAAGAGTAGAAATTTTGACTTATATCTCCAGTAATATTCCTCCCAGAATTGGGGGCTAACCTGGTGAATGAAGAAAATGCTAGTGCAGGGGCATCTGATCTGAACTGAAGAACTTTGATAAAGAAACAGTTGCTGTGTTAAGGTTACTGTTCTTCATGAAGACACTGAGCCAACTGAAGAGCTCTGCTTCTAAGTCAGCTAAACACAAGAGTGTCACACAGTACCTGGTCTTCAGAAAAGCAAACACTACTACTGTCAAAGTTCATGATCAGCCAGATCAAGAGTGAAGCTCTTGAGCTGGCTAAACAGTTTTATGAAGACCAGGATCTGTGATAAAGAAAGGGGTACTCTAATAAATACTAAGATTTTGTGAAACTGACCAGCTCGCTCAGAAGCAGACCCTATTCTTGAAGAGATTCTCTCTTGATTAACATTATTCCTCATTAATGAGTCCTTATGCACAATAGTTAGCCATTGAATATGACAAAGGTTGGGTTTTTTTAAAGGTCTTGGACAATTCTAAAATTTCCAAACTTAAGTGCCTGAAGTTAGGCATCTAACTCCAGATATAGGTCCTGATCATGCAATGAGATCTCCATGGAGGATTCCTGTGCATTTGTGGACCTCCATTGACTTGAATGGCTCAACACAAGGGCAGGTGTCTGCCTAAGTAGATTCAGTAGCAGAATCAGGGCTTTAGCCACTTTAAGAAAAACAAACAAACACCGATTTTCAGTATTGAGTAACTACAGATCCTACTGACTTTTGCCAGACTGGTGGCAGTGTAAACTGAAAGTCATGCATAAAAAAAGATTTCACAACAAATACTGCCTTGTTGCACCCTCACTAGGTTGCAATTATTCTGAACCCTATTTTCCTACATTTTTACCAATATCAATTATGCTATCTGTAAATAGTGGCTCATCAGCATTAAACTACAAAAATGGCAAGATAGTTAAGTATTTCAATTGAGACTGTGACCAAAGTGTAACCTGAAATTCTTATGAAAAACAGAGCTCAGGAAACTGAACCACTGCAATCCTATTGGACAGAAGCTGGACAAATCTAGACTCACATTAGAAATGGCAAAACATTTTCTACAGGTGTCCAATGCAGTCCCAGTCTGTTTCTTTCATCATTATCAATACTTTAAAGACTGTTATCAGACTGTGAAGATCCAAAAGTTGGTTAACTTCTTTATATTATTGGTTGCAAAATGCATTCTTCCGCTCCCTCATAAAAAATGCTTCAACGTTCTTTCATTTGAAACAAAAGTTAAAGATTATGACATCCAAAAGCTAGCCTGCAAAAACACTGTTTTCCTTACTATACCCATCTGTGCTTTTATCAGTTACAGGGCTACATAAATCATTAACAAGGGAACAGTGGGCAAGCAAGATACCCAATAAAGCACTTTCAATAAGGCAACTGATAAGATTCATGATTTCAAGGAAGTCTAGTCAGCTTTTAAAAATATAATACATCAATAAGAGTCTTTTTGAAGTTTCAATCCATTAGGGCCAGATTTATAAAGGTATTTAGGTGCCTAAAGTTTCAGATAGTAAATCCAGCTCTAATCAAACTGACCTATTCAAATAGTCTGAAGAAGACTATGATCTGTAAAAATAAATGCTACATGGCTGAGAAAAGAGATCTAGAGCAGGGCTGGATCCCTAACAGAGACTTCGCTAGCTGCATTACTGTCAGGATACCAGGAAATGCTAACATACAATAACCCCAACGAGTAAAAAAATAACCCCACTTTCCTACCCACACAACTCTCCCTGCTCTTCTTTCACGCCACCTTTGGAAAGTCACATCACCTAACGCCTCAGGCAGTGTTGTTACAACGCCTAGATTTTATCGGCAATACAAATGTTTAAATACTCTCCTGGTGTGTGTGAATAACGAACTGTGTTTTGGAGCAAGCCCCTGCTAGTGGGCGGGAGGTCGGAGGTGCACCGCCCCGCTGCAGCTCACCTGACTGGAGGTTGGAGGGTCCCCCCCAGGCAAGGCTGGAAAGGACAGAAAGCCCGGACACCCGAGGCAGCAAACCGCCCCCTGGGGCTGACCCATCCCTAGCGCTAGCGGCTCCTTCTGTCCCGGCTGCGGCTCCCGCCCTCCTGCTCCTGGCCAGCCTGTAAACACAATAGCACGCGCCAGCTCCCAGCACGAGCCCCGCCGCCACCCCAGCTCTCGCCGCCGCCCCCCTGGCCTCCCCCATGGCCCTCTGGTGCCCGTCCCCTCGGAGCACTAGGGCAACGCCAGGCTGAGGCGGGCCCAAGCGCCCGTTTCACAGCCGCGGGACGCGCCTCAGCCCAGCCCGGCGGAAACGGGACACTTCGTTCCCCCGCCCCTCTGACCTCTGCCTCCCGCCGCCCCTCCCCCAGCTCGCACAGCGCAGGCGCTGTAGCAATCTGCCCACATCCGGGGGCGGGGGGGGTTGTGAGGCCCCTCCCCACACCTGCAGTCCCGCCCCCCAGCGCTCCTGCCGGAGAGCGGGGTCGGGGCGCTGGGGCTTCCCGTGGGCCCCCGCAGGAGCGCCTGGCGGGCGCGCGGAGGGGGCCGGGGCCTCTTTGCTAGTCCGCCACTGTCCACACCCAAAACCTCCCTACCTACTGCACACCCCAAGTGATGGTCCGCCGCCCCCCAGCCTAATCAGCACATCAGGAGAAGTACCTCAGACGTGGACATGATCCATTATATTTAAATGCTAACAAAAATGTGCGCATGGTTGGAAACTAAAACCAGCCACCCAAAAATCTCATGAGGGCATCTGATTTGATTTAATTTCAAACCTAGTCATGTGCAGCCCCCCTCCCCCATCACAGATTAGAAACTCTTGGGGGCATGGACCTTCTTTTTACTCTGTTTACACAGCACAATGGGATCCTGATCAGTGACTGGGGCTCTGAACAGCAATTTTTGACAGATCTCAAAGCACTTTACAAAGGAGGGCAGCATCATTATCCACATTTTATAGATGGGGAAAATGGGACTTGTCGTAGGTCACCCAGGAGCCAAACTGGGACTAGAATACTAATTGTCTGAGTCTCAATCCTATGCTGGATCCAGTAGGCCACACTAACACCTTCTGGCTAAGAATCCCCTAGTACTTCACAAATATTAATTAATCTGCACTATAGCCTTGTGAGCTAGGTCAGAGGTTCTCAAACTGTGGTCCGTGAGCTCCATTCAGGTGGTCCGCGGATAGTTACCTCTAAAGTGCGTGCTTGGGTGGCTGCACACAAGAGAATGAAGGGCCACCCACCTAATTAGTGGAGCCGTGCAGGCGTGGCTCCACTAATTAGGTGCCTGGACCCTGGAGAAGACGCACATGTAAGGTGAGGTGGTGACCTTGGAGGAAATAGGGGGTAGATGGGGGGGGGAAGTGGGATGAGAAGAGGGGGTGGAGGGAATTTGGGATGTGCAGGGCTGAGAAAAAGGCGACTTTCCCCAGCTCCAGAGCTGCGGCTGCTATGGAGAGACAGCCATCCTTCCCAGCCTCAGCTCTGTGGCTGCTGTGTCGGGGGAGAGACCCTCCTCCTTCCCAGCCCCAGATCAGGGGCTGCCACAGCAGGGGAGAGAAGAAGAGACCCCCACCTTCTTCCCAGCCCCAGCTTGGGGGCTGCCGCGGCCAGGGAGAGAGGGCACATCCATCGCATTAGAAAGGTAAGACTACTGATATTAAAATGAGTTGTGTGCTTTTATTTGTAGAACAAAAAAAGTTAATTATTAAGGTTTTTTTTATTTAGCACTTTTATCCAAAGCGCTTTACGATAGTTAGCTAATGGTACAAACAACATTTGGAAAGATCATTAAGTGGTCCGACGAGACTCTCAGCAATTTTCAAGTGGTCCACGAAAAAAAAAAGTTTGAGAACCACTGATCTAGTCAGTTACAAAATAAGAGTTTAGATCCTGTTTCTATTTTTGGGGTGGTTTTTTTTTATGGTGTTTGCTCTGAAAAAAATGCAACTTTAACAAACCGTGGTCATAGCTTTTGAACTAAAAAATCACAACTTTTTTACAGCCATAGTAATTAATTAATAAGTAAAGATAAGTTGAAATCAGAGGCAAGGCAAGAATGTGGGCAACAGTTACATGTACACCTAATGTAATTTTATGAGTATTTTTATTAAAATTCTGTCCATAGCTTTTCAAAAAATGGTTAGACATGTCTGCTTTCAGAAAATTTAAAACCATCAGCTCTGAAGGCAGTGCAGAAGTAAGGGTGGCAATACCGCGATCCCCATTGCATCTTCCTTTTGGGTCAGAATCTCTAATTTGAGAAACGCTGGTCTCCCCCCTGTGAAATCTGGCCTTTTGTGTGCATTTACCCTATATTATACAGATTTCACGGGGGGAAGACCAGATTTCAAGGTCCATGATGCCTTTTTCATTGCCGAGAATTTGGTAGGACCCTAGCAATGTGGTATGGATGAGGAATTCAGTGGTGCGTAGCAATGATCTGTATAGATGGGAGCTGTATGGAGGCTCATGGGTAAGGCTGCGAATCATTCACGGAAGTCACGGCTTCTGTGACTTTCCATGACCTCAATGAATTTTACAGAGCTGGTGCAGCTGACTCCAGGACCACCCCAGCAGCTGGTCCCCAGGGCTGCCCTGGAGCAGCAGTCTGGGACTGGCGGTGGCAGCAGTGGCGGGGCCCTGGGCCCCCCCCCCAGCACGGAGCAGTGGGGCCCGAGGCTTCCCTGCTCAGACTGGCGGTGGTGGCAGTCTTCCGTCTTTACCTCCCAGCAGATAAGATTTAGTTACAGGTATTTTTAGTAAAAGCCGTGGACAGGTCATGAGGCCATGACTTTTTGTTTATTGCCCGTGACCTGTCCATGACTTTTACTAAAAATACCTGTGACTAAAACGTAGCCTTACTCATGGGGGAAGTGGGGAACAGATGAGGAATGATGGGGCTCAACTGGGGGGTAGTGATGGAAGTATGGACAGGAGCTTGGCTTGTTTAGGAAGTATGAATTGTGCCTGAGTGGTGAGGTAGGGGGGCTCAGTGTAGGTGCAAGACTGGGTATATGAATGGTGTCTGGGAGGGTCTGAGTGGGGGGCTTAGTGTGGTGTGGGGCTGGGGTATAGATGGGAGTAGGGATGGAAGTGTGAGTGGTGGGTGTGTGTAGTGCAAGGCTGGGTGTATGAATGGAGTTGTAATGGGGAAAATTTGAGGGGCTAGTATGGACAGGGGGCATGAAATAAGTTAGAATGGGCTATGAATTTAGGGCTTGGTGTGAGGGGAGGGCAGGTGCTATGAATGGAGTTGGGATGGGGGTTGAGCGAGTGGGGGCTTGGTGTGGAGCAGCCTGGGGCAGGGGGGATAAAAGGGAATGAGTTGGGTTTGGGCCTGGGCAGTGAGTATGATCTGGGATGGGTGAGTGGGGGCTCAGAGCAGCAGGTATGAATGGAATTGGGATGGGGGGTTGGGAGGGATGAATGGAGTTGGGATGGGGATGAATGGGGTTTGGGGCAGGGCAGGGGATATAGAGTTGGGATGGGTGAGTTGGGGCTCGGAGCAGCGGGTATGAATGGAATTGGAAGGATGAATGGAGTTGGGATGGGAATGAGTTGGGTTTGGG